CGGGAGCCGCCGAAGCCACCGCCGGTTGCCCAGCGCCGTCGCAGCCCCCGAGCTCCCCTGCGCCCCTGCCCGCGGGCGGCCGGTGGGCAGCGGGCGCCATGGCCGCGCCGGAGCCGCTGCGGCCGCGTCTGTGCCGCCTGGTGCGCGGCGAGCAGGGCTACGGCTTCCACCTGCACGGCGAGAAGGGCCGCCGCGGGCAGTTCATCCGGCGCGTGGAGCCCGGTTCCCCCGCCGAGGCCGCCGCGCTGCGCGCTGGGGACCGCCTGGTCGAGGTCAACGGCGTCAACGTGGAGGGCGAGACGCACCACCAGGTGGGGGCCCGAGCTCGCCCCCGGTCCGCCCACACCTCCACGAGCACGTCTCCCTGGGGCGGGCGGGGGTCGCACGGAGGTCGCACGGAGTCCGAGGGGCGTCCCGCGGGGAGGACGCGGACGTTGCCGGGAGGCAGTGGCCCGGCGCCTTCCGAGTTCGGGCGCAGGAAGCTCAGCCTTGCACCGGGGTGGGGGTGTATCCTGGCAGGGAGGGGCCCGCACTGCGGCTCCTGGCCGTTGGCTTCGCTGTTTGGTTGCGTTTTGGCCTCAGTGTGCCATGAAGGAGGGTGTCAGGCAGCCTGAGGCCCCACCAGGAAGGTGGAGACCTGGGTGCTTTTGCCTGGGTGTGTGTGTACACGTGTGCGTGTGAACACAGCTGGGTGTGTGTGTGCAGGTCCCTCTGGGGTCAGCCATGTGTGCACGCGCCTGCCGGTGTGTACCCAGGAGGGGGCCCGCTAAGGGTATCAGTGTGTCTGCACCTGTGTGTGTGCTGGAGTGTGTGTGTATCCAGGTCTGCACAAGTGTGTGTGTGTGTGTGTGTGTGTGTGTGTGTACAGGTTTAGATTCCCGGTCGTGTGAGAGCTGGACTGTGTGGGAACGTGAGTGTCCAGGCCTGTGTGTCTGCACACCTGGCCTGTATGCTTGTCACTGTGTGTCTGCCGGCTGGTGAGTCTGTGTGTCAGTACTCTCGTGTGTCCCACCCAGGTGTGTCTGGGACAGGTGGGAGTTGGCCATTGGTGGCAGTCACATTCCTTAGCTCCAAAGGCATTGCTCCTCCTTAGAGTCTGCTTAACTTGGCTGGGGACATTGGCTGAAGCCTCCTGCCTTCTGGCCAATGAGAACAGAGCCTTTTCTCTGTGGGTTCTGACCCCTGAGTCTGTCTGTCTCTCACAGGCCGGGGACTCCCTCCAGACCCTGGTGAGAGTCCAGTGTCCACACACCCGTTGTCCTCCAGGTCCCCTATCCCTCACAGCACCAGCAAATCCTGTCTACATGGCTGGTCCTGGATCCTAGAGATTAGTAGGTGGGGGCTGGGTGAGGTGGTTCATGCTTGTAATACCAGCACTTTGGGAGGTGAAGGCGGGCAGATGGTGATTTCAGGAGATGGAGACCATCCTGGCTAACACGGCGAAACTCCGACTCTCCTAAAAATACAAAAATTTGCCAGACATGGTGGCTTGCGCCTGTAGTCCCAGCTACTCGGGAGGCTGAGGCAGGAGAATCGCTTGAACCCAAGAGGCAGAGGTTGCAGTGAGCCGAGATCACTCGGGGACAGAGTGAGACTCCTCAAATAAAAAAAGAGATTAGCAGGTTGGCTCTCGGCTAGGCCTGGAGCTGGTCTCCTGTTTACCAAGTACCCGTCTGTTCCTCTGCAGCTTGCCCCCTGTCTTCCATCCAGAGTGTCTGCTGTGTAAGGTTGTTTGCTGAAGAAGGTGGGGATCAGGCTGGGGGCCTGGGTCTGAGGGATTGAAGGTGTGGCTGGCAGGGTGAGGGCCTGGCTGCTGTCTGACAGTCACTGCCGCCCTTGCCGTGGGAACACCTGCTTATCCAAGGTCCCGGGGGTGCTGGTCTCGAAGACTGGACACACAGGTCATGGTGGACCCTCCCCTCTGCCCCAGGAGGGCAAGAGGGGCAGTTACAGCCTCGTTGGACAGGTGAGGAAACTGATGCTGGTGATTTGGGGTGACTTGTCTGAGACACATAGTCAAGAAGCAGCTGGGCATTGGGTTCCCTTTGCCTCACTCTGTGTCATGGGGAGAGAGGAGGACCAGTGGGAAGATGGGCCTGGCTCGGCCCCTCCTATCTGTTCACCATCCCTGCTGAGCCCGGCAGCTGGTGGGGAGCCCTGTCCACCCTCCCACAAGCCTCAGGTGGAAGTGGGGCTGCCCCTCCTCCTCCCCATGGCCCAGTGGGCACTGCTTTCTCTCTGAGGGTACATGCTGGCCCCCTGTGTGGTCCAGATACTTCACAGGCACCTGCACGCACACGCTGACAGCCATGCCACAGCTGTCCACAGGTGCACCTGCCCCTTCCCCTCAACGGCTGCACCTCAATCCTGCCTGCTTCCCAGGCTATGTGTGGCTGCCTAAGCCAGGAGCCCAGCTCTTCCTTCTCTGCAGGTCCCGCGGGAATGGGTTCATGGTCATGGTCTACAGGGAGATGCAAGGCCTGGGGTCAGGGGTTTAGACTCCCACACTGCGTGGCAGAGAGTGACAGGAATGGGCATAGATACACCCAAACTGGGGCCCAGGGAGACCCTTGTCTTCCTCGAACCCAGAGAGAAATACAATCTTTGAAATAGATGGATGCACACGTGCACATGCACGAGAAGACTGAAAAGCTGAAGCTCAGCTGGGCATCATCTTTGTCACTTCCAGACAGGACTCCCCAGCTGCCGTACCCTGCAGCCCCTGCCTGGCCCCCTCTGGAGAAGACCCAGGGCTAAGAGCAAGGCCCTGGGAGGACCCTGAAGCCCTGGCAGCCTGGGCTTTAGTGTCCAGAGCCCAGGAGCAGAGGGAGGGAGCCGCTGGAGTCCGGGGGTGGGGGGCGGGGCTGGCAGGCCTCTTGGTGCAGCCACCCACCCATGCAGACCAGCCGCCTGCCCGCATGCCCAGGCCAGCCCAGAGCGGTGCCACTGCCCATGTGCGGACCGGAGTGCAGGCCACTGACCCGCCCCTGCCACCCATTTGTCCCAGGTGGTGCAAAGGATCAAGGCTGTGGAGGGGCAGACCCGGCTGCTGGTGGTGGACCAGGAGACGGATGAGGAGCTGCGCCGGCGGCAGCTGACCTGCACCGAGGAGATGGCCCAGCGAGGGCTCCCGCCCGCCCACGACCCCTGGGAGCCGAAGCCCGACTGGGCACACGTGGGCAGCTGCAGCTCCGACACCAGCAAGAAGGTATGGTGGGCTGGGCCACAGGGACCGCCCTAGCCTCTCCCAGAGTGTCTCTCGACGGCAATCTTGCCTCTGTTCCCCTCCAGAAGTCTTGGTCTCTTGTGCCTTTTGGGGCTCCTTTTCTGCCCCAGAGACCATCCTGTTCGCTACTGGGGGCCACTCTTTCCATCCTCAGCCTGTGTTCTAAACTGGGAGGAGTCAGAGCATCCTGATCTGTTCCTCTTCTCCGGGACGCTCCAGAGCCACTGCCCTATGGAGGGGTCACTCTGACAAGCCACCGCCTCCCCAGCCCCCAGCCTGTTGGCTGAGGAACCTTGGGAAGAGGCATTCCAGGTGTCCGTGTGCCCAGTTCTGTGTTGGGAGTCATCCGCGGCTCTGTCCTTGTGTCTGTCCGAGGCATCTGCATGCTGGGAAGGCCTGAGAGGGGGCCAGTCACCCCTGCAGGCAGCGCCATGAGGAGGCCACTCTACCAGGCCCGTCATGGGTGGGGCTGGGAGCAGGGAGTGAGCATGGGAGTGGAGTTGGGGGTCCAGGAGGCTCCAGGGTGAGCACACCCTCCACCTAGATATAAGGGAGGCCCACGGACCCTGTCTGTTGTTCCTTCTGGAGTCTTGCTGGGCAGCACTTCTTCTTTCCCCTGCACCTGCTCCCAGCCAGGAGACCCAGAAAAGTTGAGGTGCGGCCTGCTCCACCTCCAGCTAGGTGGCCCCCAGGAGGGGCAGCCTGGTAGGCCTGGGGGCCAAGAGGAGCAGCCTGAAGCTGTCTGTCCTGCCTTCCTGGACATCCTGACATCGCCTTCATGCTCTCAAAGAAATCCCTTCAGGGGATCGAGTCCAGGGGTTCCCCAGGCCCTACTTTGAGAACCTCGGGCCTGGGTCGGAGGTGTGAGATCTGGAGTTTCCGGGGGAGCAGGGGATCTGCACATTGACTTTCTCCCTTTCCCAAACATTTCCCCTGGAGCTGGCTGCGCCTGGGAGCTGAGCCCCGGGGGCCGTCTTGGCAGGGAGACGGCATTCCCTGTGGGGAGCCCAGCCTGGGCACAGGGCTGGCCATAGGTCCTGTGGGACCTGTTTCGTTCCTGGGGCTTGAGGGTAGGCTATGGCAATGCTCAGGGCCAAGATGCCCAGCCTGTGGTGGGTTGGTGGGGGCTGGCCTTACATGGGGGCTCGCTGGCCCAGGCCCTGGCTCCAGGCTGAGGGTTGGGGCCTCCCTCTTTCCCAGGCACCCTCCCTCCCCCAGGAGGAAGCTCCCCCTCCCCCCAGGCATTTGTCCATTGATTTGGACACAAATGCACCGGTCACCTTCCTGTGGAAAAATCCGGCCCTCGGACTTTATCTGGAGGGTGCGGTGGCTGAGGCACCTTGCCTTGGGTGGGACCTTCCCCCTTTGCTATTTCAGGCTCTGGGGGCTGCAGGAAGCCCTAGGAGGGGCTTCCTCTGGGCGTATTTTTAGAGGAACAAAGGGTGGCCTGAGTGGCAGGTCCCTCTGTGCATGAGTCTGGCTGAGGACAGGGGCTCCAGGAGGTCAGGGGACACCCAAGGAACAAGGTCTCCCCTTCTCTCTCTGTCATCGAGACTTGAGGTTTCTTTTTTTTTTTTTTCCTTGGTTCAACTGCAATCTCCTACATCTGGGTTCAAGCGATTCTCCTGCCTCAGCCTCCTGAGCAGCTGGGATTACAGGCATGTGCCACCACACCTGGCTAATTTTTCTGTTTTTAGTAGAGATGGGGTTTCGCCATGTTGGCCAGGCTGGTCTCGAACTCTTGGGCTCAAGCGATCCGCCTGCCTCAGCCTCCCAAAGTGCTGGGATGACAGGTGTGAACCACTGTGCCTGGCCCGAGACCTGAGGTTTCTTTACCCAAGCTTCCAGCATGGGCAGGAAGAGCTGGGCCTCATCTGACCTCCACAGAGCAGGCTCAGATCCTGCCCTCCTCAGCCTGGGTGCACCTCTCGAGCCTGAGACGGTCAGGGAGCCTGGGAGGGCAGAGCTTACCCTGCACGGATGGCTCCAGTGGGGGTGTTGGTGGCAGAGAGGCAGAGCCCTGGGGAGGATTGTGTGTAGTTTGGCTTTGGTGCAGGATGGAGAGGGCCCACCCCTGGGTGCCCCCTGGGAGCTAAGGGTGGTTCTCCGTGTCCTCTGTCCTGGCTGGGGATAGGGAGGTGGGCAGGGGAGGAACTGATGTGGTTGACCCTCCTTTTGGGGCCATTAAAGCCTAGTTAGTGATGACTCAGGCCTGGGCCACACCAGGCTAGGGATGGTCACAGCTGCAGTGCAGCTGATCCTTGTGGTGATGACAAGGGACAGCCCCCAAACAGACAGGGCGGCCAGCGGTGCCAGGCTCTGGAGGTGGTGGCAGACCCGGGCCCTTCATCCCCTGCTCCCAGTCCATGTGCCACCCCCCTCTGGAGGGCTTTGGGGGCTAAGAGCAGGTGAAGGGTGACAGCGGCTGAGAGCGAGTGGGAGTGACAGTTCTGCGGGAGGCGGCTGTGTGGGTGGAACACGATCCCTGTGGGGGCTTCCAGGCTCCCCTGGTTCTTGTTCTCTGGAACCTCAGCAGCGCTGTCCTGTGTTCTAGGGTCGGGACTCCTCCGTCCCCCCAGCCCTGGGTCCTGGGGCGGGGCAGGGCAGGGCCTTCCAGCAGCTTCCTTCCTTCCTTTCTTGGGACGGAAACCCAGCCGGGTGGGGGGCGCCGGGCTGGAGCCTTTGCAGGGGAGTGGGCTCAGTCATCACCCTACTCCCCAAAGTGACTCAGCCCTCACGTCCCCACCCACCCCTGGGGAGCCAGGGCCTCTGAGGGAGGTAGATAAGTCGGGTGGGAGCCTGGGTCGGCCAGAGAGCTCAGGCCACCCCGGCTGGACACCCGCTGCCACCGTCTTGCTGTCATGGCACGCTCTGGGAGTGCCACACCACCTGCTTGGGCTCCAGGAGCCCCTCCACGGAGCCCATCCCAGGGAATGGTACAGGTCAGGTAGGGTGGGAGGAAGGGGGGGCTTAGAGGAACCAGCCGCCGCTCAGCCTCCCAGGGTGGGAGGAGGGGACTCTGGGACCTTGATGTAAGCAGGCCGGCCCCTGAGCAACAATGGAGGTCTTTTTCTGCCAGGGCTGGTGCGTCACCATCTGGGGGGGGGGTCCCAGGGTACCCCCAATGCAGCCTCTTTGTCTGGACACAGGCATGGCTGGGGGACCAGGGATGGCCCGGCTCTGCGCTGGCCGCTGGCGGGGAGGGAGCCTGGAGCCCATGGGAGCCAGAGGGCCTGGCAGGAGGTGGCAGGAAGTGTGTGCTGAGCCAGGGCAGCGAGGAGGAATGTGAGCTATGAGCCCCGCCCAAGCTCCTCCGCATTCTGGGCCCCCCTGCCCTGCCCCATGTGCTGCCAGCAGCCCACCCCGGCCCCTATCTTGCAGCCCCTCTACCTGAGGGTTTAGTGCCATGCCTGGCACCGCAGGACCCTGCTGACAATGAGGAGGGGTTAGGCTTGATGACAGGCAGAACTTCTTGCCTTGTAGAGTTCAAGACACAGAGGGGTGGCCAGAATGACCCCGAGAACATGGAGGGGGCCTTGGCCTGGCCTCAGGGCCCCAGATGCCCCACCAGATCCTGCTTCCTGTCTGGTGCCTTGAGAAACCCTGCCCTGCAGGCCTCTGTGCAGGTGTGGGAAGGGCTGCGGGGCCAGCACTGTGGGGCCGGCCACATGTGTGGGCGGCTATGCGTATTCCAAGGTGTATTTGGACGTCTCGTGTCTGTGACCCTGTGACATGTGTCTGCAGCCTGGCCCGTCACGCTCGCACTTCCCCTCCCAAATTGGGCTCCTGTCCCCACACCTTCCCTCTGTGCCAGGCCAGCCTCAGGGGCTGAGCTCTGATGCATCCCTGAGGGGCGCCTCCATGGGCAGGTGTCAGGGTCAGCCTTAAAGCCCCACGCCTGTGCCACCAGGTGTGTCTGGAGGAAGGGCGGGTTTGTGTGGTAGGGCCCTGGGGATTTTGGGGGTCTTGTACCCTCCAATTCAACCCATGTAGCCCAGCTGAGCCCCTGGGGGGCTGAGGAGCCCCAGTCTTGTCCCTGGAGTTCCTGGTGTGATGGGCTGGGTGGCAGCCATGTGGAGAGGCTTCAGAGGGTGGGCAGGAGGCTCCACAAGAGGTGCCTGGCAGGCAGGACAGGAGGAGGGTGTTCCAGACCAAGGGCAGGGCCTGAGCCCAGGGGACAGGGCACCGGCGTTTCGGGGAAGGACCCTGTGCGCCCTTGGTGGGGCGCCCCCCCTACCCCTGACTAGCATGGCTGTTCCCAGTCCATTGGGGTTTGGAGTGAGCCTGAAGGTGGGTGGCTGGAGGGGTCGGGGGTATCTGAGGCCTGGAGACCTGCCTTCCTGAGGTCTGAGTGCCCCTCCTGCCATGCTAGCCCGACCCTGGCCTGGCCTATGGTCCCTTAGGGACACACAGGGAGGTAGGAGGTGAGGGAGGGGCCCGGGTGGCCCCCACCCTGCCTGCACACTGTCCCCTGCACACACCCTCAAGCCTAGCACTCCCTGGAAACCTGAGCTGTCGCTCGCCTGCTCCAGCCACCGCCATGTTTATCTGAGCACGGGCAGCCGCTGGCCACTGCCACCTCACCCGCCCCGGCCCAGCCCCTGGTTGGGGGGATCACTGGGCCTGGCCCAGAGCCCCACTGCAGGATGCCAGAGGTAACATGGGGCAGGGCCCTGGGATGGTATCAGGGTCCCTCAGGGGACCAGGAGGCGCTCTGTGCCCTGTCCACTCTAAGCTCCGGCCCCAGTCCCTGCTTGCTGGGCCCATGGGGGTGGGGCGGCTCATTTTCCCGGAATGTGAAAGCAAACAGAGCCGCCACCGCAGCAGCCAGCCTCGCGGACTCTGGAGAGAAAACAAAACTGCTGGCCTAGGAGCGCCTGGCCCACGCTCTGGAGGCGAGCCTGGGGCAGGGGGACACACAGGCAGGGCCCTCGGGGACAGCTGCCTAGGAGGCCGACGGTGACAGTTCGTCCCACCTGGCGCTTCTTCCCACCCGCCTGTGCACTGCGCTGGCCTCGAGCCCAGAGAATTCTCCCAGCAACCTGGAAAAGCTGCTGGGCCCATTGGGGAGGCTCCAGGGTTTAGAAACAGGTTTGCGAAAGTTCCCACAGCTAGAGCTCCGTCACAGGCAGCCAGGGCACCTGGAGCGTTTGCCCCTGAGACCTGGGCCTGCCTGTGGGGGGGTATGGTACTGAATTTGGGCAGGGGCAGCTCCACTTGAGAGTAGCCTCTCAGGGCAGGAGGCTGGAGCCAAGAGACTGATCCTGTCTTTCGGGCCTGCAGGATGTCAGTGGGCCCCTGAGGGAGCTGCGCCCTCGGCTCTGCCACCTGCGAAAGGGACCTCAGGGCTACGGGTTCAACCTGCACAGTGACAAGTCGCGTCCCGGCCAGTACATCCGCTCTGTGGACCCTGGCTCCCCTGCTGCTCGCTCTGGCCTCCGCGCCCAGGACCGGCTCATTGAGGTACCGACCCACTGGGGCTGCAGGGTGCCGGGTACCCCGTGCCCGTCCACATCGGGCCCCCGGGTCCTTGCAGGTAGGAAGGAGACGCTGGGAACCTGAGCTGGCGTGCTTCCTGCTGCCTCGGCGGACAGTGGTTGTGATGAATATTTGATGCCACACCTGGCCACGTGGTGTGGGGGGCTGTCTGGGCCCACTTCAGGGCTGATGTGTGCTGGTGGTGGCAGGTGAATGGGCAGAACGTGGAGGGGCTGCGCCATTCCGAGGTTGTGGCCAGCATCAAGGCCCGGGAGGATGAGGCCCGGCTACTGGTGGTGGACCCGGAGACAGACGAACACTTCAAGCGGCTTCGGGTCATCCCCACCGAGGAGCACGTGGAAGGTGGGCCACGGCCCGGGGGAACAGGGCGGGCACAGTGTGGTGGCTGAGCAGCCACTGACACGCTGTCCCCACCCACAGGTCCTCTGCCAACACCCATCACCAATGGGACCAGCCCTGCCCAGGTGAGTGGATGGGGTGCCATGAGACACGGTGCCTCTGGGGGTACTCAGGCCGACAGAGGCCCCCTTCTCCCTGGAGATCCCTGTCCTCGAGGAGGTGTGGTAGTGACACCCAATTCTAGCCCTGTCACCTCCCTTTAATGCCCCTGTGGATCTAGTCCTGGGTCAGTGCCACACCCAAGCTACATGGGGCGCCTGGGGTTGGGGCTGCTGCCTTCCGTCCCCTCCTAGGCCCCACCTGGTAGAGTTGGTAAGCTCTCCAGTCTCTGCCTCCTAAGGGAGCTGGCGGTGGCCTCACTACAGGCGTTGGTCACGCTGGCCGTTACTGTGCCCAGACTCCCTCTGCACCATGAGCCGGCCAGGATACCCGCCTGTTACTGCCGGGTTCCCAGTGCCTGCCCTGCCGCAGCTGGAGCGCACCTGAGGTCCGAGGCCACAGCCGAGTGGAGGAGCACACACAGCTGTGGGGTGTGTGCATGTGTGCGTGTGTGTGTGCGTGTGCAGGTATTGTGTCTGTCTGTGAACAGCGGCTCCCTGGGCGGGAGCCCTGAAGCCACAACCTGCCCTTGCTTTCCCAGCTCAATGGTGGCTCTGCGTGCTCGTCCCGGAGTGACCTGCCTGGTTCAGACAAGGACACTGAGGTATGGATGTTCTTCTCCACCACTCCTCTCCTGAGCTTACACTCGGGGGTGCCAGAGACCTCGGGGTGGGTATCTGTGGAGATGTCAGCTAGGGCAGGGGGGTCTGTGCCTCCAGGAAGCCCTTGAGAGCCCACTGCCTCAGCCCCAGCAGGCGGCCTCTGGTGGTTGGTTCCTGGGAGGGGCTACCGTCTGGGGTGTGGGACTAGGGCTCACTCCAGGCACCCCACCCACCATGCCCACCCCAGGATGGCAGTGCCTGGAAGCGAGACCCCTTCCAGGAGAGCGGCCTCCACCTGAGCCCCACAGCGGCCGAGGCCAAGGAGAAGGCTCGAGCCACGAGAGTCAACAAGCGTGCGCCACAAATGGACTGGAACCGGAAGCGAGAGATCTTCAGCAACTTCTGAGCCCCTCCCTGCCTGTCTCGGGGCCCTGGGACCCCTCCTGCACGGACCTTGGGCCTCAGCCCGCCCCGAGCTCCCCAAGCCTCGGTGGACTGGAGGGTGATCCTGCCCCTGCCCAGAAATCAGCCCCAGTCCCCGTGAGCCCCCATCCTGCCCCTGCCCGCTAGGTATTGGGGGCCTGTGGCAGCAAGATAGGGGGAGAGAGACCCAGAGATGTGAGAGAGAGACAGAGAGAGAGAGAGACAGAGGGGCAGAGCGGCGGCCGCAGGGTGAGGGCCTTTGCTGCTCTGCTGGGCCTGCTGACTGAAAGGAATTTGTGTTTTTGCTTTTTTTCCAAAAAGATCTCTAGCTCACACATGTTTCCACTTAATACCAGAGCGCCCCCCTCCCCTCCCCCTTGGGACGCACTCTAAATAATTGCAATAAAACCTTTCTCTGCAAACCATTTCCTCCCTGGCCCCCCCACCCCCCACCCCCTACCCCCTACCCCTGCCGGCCTCAGCAGTGGCTGTCCTGAGTGGGAGTCCCTCAGACTTCGGGTGGCTGAGCTGGGGCCCCCAGCCTATTTGTGGGGACCTTGGGGTAAGGCCAGGGAGGCTGGATGTGGCCATGGGAGCTGCCCACCCTGGTGTGGGGGTTCCTAGGCCAGGCCCTGCTCCCCACCCAGCTACCCTGTATGCTTCTGCCTTGCTGGGGATCTGGAGTGCAGGGCCTGGGCTCTCCGAGGGGCCCAAGGATGGAGGCCCCATGTCCTTGCAGAGGGTGGCCTTTCTACAGGCCCCTCATTCCGCATGGCAGCTTCCAGGCCTGGGGAATGTAGGTGTGTGAGAGCGGCACCCAGGAAGGACTCTAGACCTCTGGCTCAGCCCTGCCTGGCGGGCTCCCCTGTGGACATCCTGCTGACTGCTCTTCCCTCCTGGGCCCCACACCCCTGAAGTGACTGATCGACCGGCACCGCTGTTGCCTCGTAAGCCATAGCGCATGCGCGCCCTCAGAATAAACAGGCCCTGCCTGGGACTGACATGCCTCTGTCTTTTCTGAGCCTCCTCCTTGCCGGGTGAGAGGAGTAGAGGGATGAGGCTGTTTCAGGGAGCCCCTTCCCCGAGTCTCAGCAGCTGGAAACTGAGTCTCGTTCCTGAGCCCCTGCCCTGCATCCATCTGCTCCCCGCCCTGCTGCTGTCCCCCACTGGCCCCCATGGGACCCGCTGCTGTGTGGCTCATCCTGGGCTCTTACCCACCTCCCTATTTGGTGGACTCAGCCTCCCACCTTCACCTTCCCTGTGAAGCCATCTGGCCTCACACAACACCCACATGGCCCTTTGCCCAGTTCACTCCGTGACCTCTAGCCTTATACCCTGTGGCTTCCTGCCTGGGTCCCCAGTGTCTCTTTCAAGGTTGGGGAGCTCTGTAAACAGGGAGGTGGGACCCTGGCAGAGGCTGGGCTTTGCGGGCATGCAAGCTCAGGCACTGGCGGTGTCCAGGCTGGGAAGCTAGGGGGCGGGTGATGGATAATGAGGGGCCAGGGTCCCAAGCCAGCTGCCCAGGAGCTGCTTCCCTAGCAGACTTCCAGCAGCTGGCTGCAGCTGGCTCTCTCCACTTCCTCCCTCCCTGTCCCTGAGTACACAGCAAAGATTGTCACGTCCCCAGCCGGCCTCCCAGGCGGCCCTGCTTCAGACACGCAAGCATGGGTGTGCACGCGCACACGCCTGTACACGATTCCCAGGCCCCCGGCCCCTCAGGGACAGACATCAGCCAGATGCCACCTGCAAACACCCCAAAGCTTTATTCAACAGGTGTGGCTTCCTGCGCAAAGGCACTTCACAGGCGGCAGCCATAGCGGCACCATGGCCGAAGCCGCACAGCCCTCAGAAACCCTGTGAGGCTGGGCACAGGGCTTGGTTGAGGCAGCCCTGGCAGCGAGGGTGCACGGGCAGACAGGTCTGCTGGCCAAAGCCCACCAGGAGTCCGTTGATCTCATGCCACAGCTCCCTGTGGGGGAGGGGCTGGGTCAGTGCTGACGGAGGGCAGGTGGGGTGAGCCCTCCCCAAGGAAGCCCCCCACATACCCATACCTGGGTAGCCACTCTTCCAGGGCAGCGCGGGTCTCCTCCGGGGACTTGGTTGCCTTCTTGGTCCACCTCAGCCGGTTGGCGATTCTGTGCACGTGCGTGTCCACTGCTGCTAAAAGGCCAAGCGGGGTGAATGGGGCACACTCCACCAGCCCAGCCCATGCCCCTCCCCTCCCAGAGGCAAATCTGCCACCACCCCCGTGGCCCTCCAATTAGAGACTGGAACTGCAAGCCTACATGTGACCATCTCGGCTGCCCCTGAGGTGCTGGGGCAGGGGCTGAGCCCTCTAGTGGGGTGCAGGCCTCCCTCCCATCACCTAAGCCAGCCTTGGTGGAGGCTCTGCTTTGGGCTGACCCATTCCCACCAACCCTGGTGCAAGATGGGTGTGTGGGTGGTAGGGTCTCTGCTCTGGGCAGGGCTTAGGGGTGGTGACTCGGCTCTGCTTCGGGCTCTGTTTCCCACAACAACAGTGACAGCTCACTCGGACACGCGCTTGCTGGGGCCAGACCCTGCCTGAGAGATTGGCCGGCTCAGCAAATCCTCATGAGGTCCCACGGATGCCAAAACCGAGGCCCAGCAGGATCCCGACTCTGAAGCACCTGTCAGCCCCCAGCTTCCCCAGGAACAAGGCCCTGGCACAGGAAGGGCCCAGCCAGGTTTTCCTCTGTCCATCACTTGTGGTCTGAGGCCCCGCCCAGCATAAACACCGGCTCTGGTCACCAGGCTGGGTGGCAACAGTTCTTCCCAGTGGGCTGGCATGAGGTCACTGGCTGCAGGGCCAGCACGTGCCACTGCAGTGGTCAGGGACAGAGCGGAAGCATGGCCTGGCCAGTGGCAGCTGCTGTCCCCCTGGGTTCTGGCCCCCGTTCCCCTCAGCTGGCCACCCCAGAGGCGTGCTCATCAGGGCTCCCTTCTCCCACCCGGTCGCCCCGGCCAGCTGCAGCCCTAGCCGGGCCTCCTCCTTCAGTGTTTGCCAAAGAGAAAGCCAAGCCCTGCACCAGCTCCTTTGCTCTGCCGTCACCTGCCTGGAAAAATGTGTCTGAGGTTGTGGGGAGACCTCCAAGGCTGAGGGGTCCCACCCCTGGGGATCTGAGCCTGACTTTCCTCCTCTCTAATGGAAGTGGCCATGCTCCTTAGGAGACCCAAGGCTGAGTCGGGCCACATCACGTTATGTGAGCCTCCTGCATAGCTGGACAGTGAGTGAGGAGGACTCCCTCACTGCTGTGTGGCCAGAGCTTAGAGAAGCCAAGTGCCTTGCCCAAAGTCACCCAGCGAGGAGGCGCAGGGCTGGGACTGGAGCCAGCACTGTGTGGCTTTGGCCTCTTTTTTTTCTTGAGACGAAGTCTCACTCTGTCGTCCAGGATGGAGTGCCATGGTGCAATCTGGCCTCTTTTTTTTTTTTTTTTTTTTGAGACGGAGTCTTGCTCTGTTGCCCAGGCTGGAGTGCAATAGCCCAACCTCAGCTCACTGCAACCTACACCGCCTGGGTTCAAGCTATTCTCCTGTCTCTGCCTTCCCAGTAGCTGAAATTACAGGCATGGCCCACCATGCCTGGCTAATTTTTGTATTTTTGGTAGAGATGGGGTTTCATGATGTTGGCCAGGCTGGTCTTGAACTCCGGACCTCAGGTGATCCACCCACCTCAGCCTCCCAAATCGCTGGGATTACAGGCTTGAGCCCTCATACTCAGCCAACTCTGGTGTTTTAACTGAGAGTGTTTCTCTTTCTGGGAACCCGTAGGAGGAAGCCCTGGGGTCTTCTGGCAGGTGGTCAGGCCCATAGATACCCAGAGAGGGAGGTATTCCCACTCCTGTGCCTGCTGCTCCCAAAGCCCGTTCCCAGCCTAGCTGTGGGCAGGGACCTTCCCCCACAGCCCTGCCCAACCACAATGCAGCACTCCAGGGACACGGGCAGCTAAGGACAGCCACCCAGATAAGCTCAAGTGTCTGTTGAGAGCCTGGCAGGTGGTGGCGCTGGGAGTCTGGGTGGGAGGAAGCCCTGCCCCGGTGCACCTGGCCTGGCTCTGGCTTTTTCACCTCACCAGATAGCCCCCTGCCCAGAACCAAGGCCCTCAGCCCCCGGTGGCCCTCTTGCTGCCAGGCAGTGCTGGAAGGCCCCCTGTAGGAGACCCAAAGGGGCCTGGGATGGGGACACACAGAGGGCAGGGCCAAGCCCTGGTTTCTAGACTGGCTGGATCTGGCTGCATGTGGCCTTAGGTGCCCCAAATCCTCTGGGCAAAGCTCAGGAGGAGGCAGCCCCACCCCAAATCCAGGGGTCTGTCTTCACCTCACTGCCAAAAAGCCTCAGGTGCCAGGATGAGACACCGGGACCTGGGAAAAGGATTCAGGGAGGGCTCCCTCCCCACCCTCCCTGCCCCGTGCCCCCAGCACCTCCCTCTCAGTACTCCTCCCCCCGCCACCTGCCGAGGTGATACTCCCTCCTCAGCTGTCACCTCCCCACTCTGCCCTCATCTCATTCCAGAACTTCCTGCTCCTGGCCCTCTCTCCCGCCTCCCTGCTTTGAAGATGCTGTTCCTTCTGCCAGGAACACACTTCCTCCTTTTGGCCTGGCTCACCCAACCTTGCCCTGCAGCTCTCAGTGGAAGGATGACCTCAGGGGCCTTCCTAGAGGTCCTGGGCCCAGGCCAGGCCCCCAGCAGCTCCCTGCACAACCATCAGTGTTTCCACCCCACAAAGGGGGAGTTCCACCCTCCACATTGCTCCCGAATACAGCACAGGTAGGGAGTCTAGCCTGGGGCCTCCCTGAGAGCCCCACATACACAGGTGTTCCACCCCTGTGAGCTCCTGCCCCAGCACCTGTCTCTGAGTGGGGCTGGCCTGGCTCAGCTGTGTGAGTACCTTTCTGACCTTACGGCTGAGTGGAGAATAAGGATGCTGGAGGTGGAAACACAGGTCACCAGGATGTGGGGAATCCCAAGAGCAGCCAGTGCGCCAGAGCTAGCCCAGCCCTCTGGGAGTGTGCGCCACTCACCAATGCCCGACACGGTGCCCCAGGCCACAGCCATAGCCAGGTGTGCCATCTTGGGCCCGACACCAGGCAGTGCCACCAGCTCAGCCACAGAGGCTGGGATGTCCCCGCCGTAGCGCTGCTGCAGGATGGCGCTGGTCTGCTTGATGTACTTCACCTTGCTCTGTAAGATGGGGTGGGTTCAGCCTTAGAGGCAGGGGCATAGCCTGACCTGGTAGGACGCAGCGCCTAGGAGACCCACAGGTGGCCAGAGCTACCTGTCACCTGCCCAGGACATGTGCAAGGTACCTGTTCACAACCTACCCCCCAGGAGGCAGGCATGAGTGGAGGGCAGCAGGGAGGCCCAAGGCAGGCCTGACCCCCTCCTCCCACTCAGGTAGGCCAATGACACGTGTGTAGGGTCTGGCTCAGGTTCCCCTGCCTGTTGGTGCCCTGCCAGCACCCAGGCACGCCAGCTGCTCCCAGGAGTGGGTCTTGGCTGCACCTGGGCCTTCAGGAAGGAGGGCTGGAGCTGGGGCTTCCCCACCAGCTGCTAGGACTGCCGGGTGGTTCCCATCCTGTGCCCAAGTGGAGAGGGCTATTTAAAACCCATCTGACAAACTGCGGCCCACACGGGTGCCAAGGGGAAGCCGCCCCACCCACCAAGCTGCTTTCAACAGATCCACCCACAACCTTCCAGTGCTTGGTGGGGTCGGGGAACAGCCTCCCCGGGGCTCCTGGATGGTGGGGGGCTCTGGACAGGAGGGGGTGACGCACCGGGGTGGCTTGCAGTAAACAAAGGGAAAGGGGGTGGGCAGGCGGCGAGGCGGGGAGGCAAAGGAAGGAAGGGAGGATGCAGACGGGAAGGCCAAGGAGCTGCTGGGACTGGGCGCCAGGCATCACGGCCCCACGGCCTGGGATGGGGGCTCCAGGGGACCCTGGGGCCAGAGATGCCTGACCCTTGCCTCCTGCACCGCCACAGCCCCCCT